CTGACAGTGTCGCTTGTATTTTCACAGCTAGGTCACGTGGCCAGTAAAAGTGAGTTGCGCGTTTGGCATGAGTGGAAAGTCCTCACGCTCGACTACCGGTACTTTGTGTACTGAGTCGTCGAGTAGGAGGCCCGATGGTAGAGGTACCGATATTTTTTCTCAGCCTCCCCTCGCTGTTTTTTCCAGGTGGTGGGTTACCCGATTGTACCGGCTACAGCAAGGCTGTGCCCCTGGAGGCTTTCCTATGGGGCCTGTTGCGGGTTCCTTTGTGGATCCTTTATTGCACTGCGCCGGGTTTGCCTCCAAGTTGAGGGCTTTGGTCGAAGGACTGTTGGGACGAATTGCGGCCCTGGCAGGCCAGGTAGATCAGACACAGTCAGAGCGAGCTGTCTCCACTGCAGCCCCATGGTCGGCAGGAAGAGACACTAAAGCATCATTTGCATTCAAACACGTTGCTTCCGGGGAACCCCTCGTTCCCAGCCGCGGCTCTCCCCCTGTTTTGGGTGAGGCCAAGGCTCAGGCTAGTTGCACCGGGTGTCCTCTGGGGCATCGGGCACTGAATGCCAACAGGGATGCTGGCAGCCAAGCCTCCGATTTCGGGGCAGGGCTTTTATGTCAGGGCACACGTTGCACCTTCCCCCTACTTTCAGCCAGCCAGGGTTTGTCGCACAGTAATGGTACAACGATAACAAATTTACCCTTGTGTCCGGTCTCCGTCGTGGGTTTTGACTCTCTTCTTACTGACCCACGGGCGTCCCCAGAGGGAACCGACCCTGTCATGAGACGCACAGTCGAACACGCTCTCTCTCCCATATTTAAGTGGGACAGTTCGTTCGCGTCAGATACAGCTGGTACCTCGGGTGGTACCTCAGAGTCTTCCATCCATAACAACTCGGTGAGCCACGCCTTTGGGGTGATGCAGAGTATCATTGATCCTAGTGATATGATGTACATTGTGTAAATACCCCCACCCTTGATCCTAAGGCGACCACTTACGGTTGCTTCAACGCTTATGGGATCATGGGTGTCGGGATTCAAAGCACCCCCGGCGGCACGTCTCTCCCTGTCTGTCCGAGTGCGGAGTGGGCCCCAGGACATGCAAACTGTGTTGATCGGCGGACGTTGGTCAGCCACGGAGGTAACGCTTAAGGCCCCCGGGTGGGATAAAATCTTGTGCAACACTTTCCGCTGGACCAAACGCTACCAGGTCGATGTGGTTCGGGATCAGATTCCAAAGCGCGGGATAAGACCAAAACACCTCCAACCGGATCCCAAGGCTCCTTCCCCAGACCCCTGTACCATGAATTTCCGTTGGGCAACAGTGTTCTCCACGCATTGATTTGGTAGGGCGGGCCGCCATGGTAAAATCATACTCCAGGCTAAATATTGCGCCGCCAGGGTAAAATTCTTCAGCGTCATGCTAAATTGACCAAATATAATCATGCATCAGTATAAATTCAAAGTGTTTTAATACATGCAATGCAATACAGACAAAGAATAAACATTAATGATACCTACCCTTGTCAAATCAACAAGAGGCTCAAATCAGGAAGGCTCGGCTATTTTAAACTTTATTTAAGTGTAATAAACATAAGTGAAATGTATGGACTAGTCATAATACTCGTAATACTTCGAAAGTTACGAAAGTTGAAAAAAATTCGAAGTACAATTTGTACAACTTTACGTTAGTCAGTATATTACCGAATCATGTGTGCACACATAGTTTGCTGGAAAAGGGCGCCATACACAGAGTAGATCAGCCGGCATTAAGTCCAGGCTTCTACTCAAACGTGTTCATAGTACCAAATTTGCAGGTGGCGGGCGTTCAGTTCTGGACCTAGGCAGACTGAATCAGTATGTGCTCCATGATCGGTTCTGCATGGGGGCGCCATTCAGCGTTCTTCTCTCCATCCACCGTTACAACTGGCGAGCCCCACTAGACTTAAGCAGGGCCTACCTGCACATACCGATTACTGATGCATCCAGCGAATTGCCATCTCCTTCAAATTGCCCAGCTGGGCCAAGTATTTGAATTTCGGGTGCCCCTTGTTCAAGTCATGCGCAGCGCCCTAAGTGTTCACCAGTGATGAAACAGGTAATATTTACTTCACCAGTTGGGCTCTTTAGTAAATCCCATCACGACCCAACGCACAGTTGGTGTTCCTGGGCATGGAGTTTGACACAGAGTAGGCTTGGTATAGCTATTTAAAGCGTGTTGCTTAGCACTAAGCAGCCTAGTCCGAACGCCTAGTCAGCGTTTCCTCAGTGTCCCTCCAAAAACTAATGCGGATCATCGGAATGATGATCTTGGTTTGAAGGGTGGTTCCCCAGGCCGAACTACGCAGCCGCTCGGTACACCAAGCTCTCCTATGGGAACTAGATAGGCGGGTTTTGATCTCAAACCAAGTGAAGGAAGCCCTGCCCTGGTGGTCGTCACTGGCCAACCTCGGACAAGGGGCCCCCTTGGACCCACTCGCTGCAGCTATGACTCTGGTAACAGATGCCTCCCTCCAAGGTTGGGGAGCGCAAAACCGACTCAAACTGAAAGCAGTGCACTTAGCACTACCACACTTTCTACCCGTAATTCGAGACTACAGAGTCCTGCTCCGCACAGGCAAAGCAGCGGTGGTCTCCTTCAAGAAGGAGGGGGGACGCATTCCTCAACGTTGTCAGTCCTAGCGGAGCAAAATTCTCCTTTGGTGCCTGGAATACAATGTGGAGCTAACCGCACACCACCTTCGAGGGGTGAGGAACAGAACACAGAGTGGCTGATAACCCAGTGGGTAGCCTCCAGGCTGTTTCGGCTGTGGGCTGGTCCAAGGATAGACCGGTTTGCCACACCCTGGAACGCCAAGCTCCCGACATACAAAACACTCCTGTCGACTCCAAGAGCATGGGCCAGGGTCGCTTGGCTAACCCCGTGGACCAACTTAGTTGTGTATGCCTTTCCTTCCTTCTCGCTAGTTCGCCGGGCACCAGAGAAAATTTTGACAGGTGCACACCTGCATATTGTCATTGGTTGCACCCAATTGGCCAACCAAGGCCTTGTTTCCACTTCTGTTGGAAATGCTAGTCAAAACACTAGTAGTGGCTAGACTTACCAGACCTGCTGTCCCAACCGGGCAGCGCACTACCAACGAGCCCAGCGGGTATTTCTTACACGCATAGAGGCTCTCAGTAGACCCGCACATACAAAAGGTTTATCTGAGCAGGCTGCCAACGTCCTGGCCAGGGCAAACAGGGATTACACTAACGCTGTCTACATTTCTAGGTTGTGAGCATACACTCATTAATGTAGCGGAAGGGAGATTGATCCATACCATCCCTCTATTGGCCAGGTAGCAGACTCCTTCGTCCTCCTGTTTGACGAAGTGGGTTTGTCCTACGCAGCGATCGTTGGCTACAGATCGGCCTTGTCCCCCACCATTGAGAACGCTTTGGGAACAAGACTAGCCGATTGTCCTACTGTTAGGAGACTATTTACTGCTTTCCATTATCAGAGGCCGAGACCCTGTACAAGGGAACCGCCCAACTGGGATTTGTTGGTTGTGTTGTCCGCTCTAATCAGACCTTCTTTTGAGCCCCTCCGTTCAGCACCACTCAAATTTTTGACGTGGAAAGTAGTCTTCCTACTGGTCCTGGCCTCAGGTAGGTGTCGACCAGAGGTGGGGGCATTGTTCTTCTCAGACTATGTACTGCCGTTATGGACAATCAAGTTGTGCTAAGACACAAATCTGGTTTCTCACCAAGAATCAAATCTCAGGACACGATCCTCACCTGATCATCATCTCCCGGCTGTCAAATTTTGTCGGCCCGGAGGGTCAGGAGGAATTGCCTCTCTGCCCGGTCCAATCAAGGAGTTGCTACCAAACTAAGGATTCAGGACGGGGTGCCAGGCACATGTCCTTATCCACCTTCCATCACCAGGTGGATTACTGCAATTGTATTAGAGGTCTATAATACTTTAACTTCCTCGACACAGAGCTTGCAGAGACACCAAGTAAGAACGCATGAGGTCTGTGTGATTGCTAACTCGCTAGTGCTAGCGTCAGGCGCCCCTTTCGAGCACACACTGAGGGTAGGCTTCTGGAGAATGCAGAACGTCTTTATCAACTACTACCTAGGAGACACCCAACCCATTGAGGAGCGGGTCAGACTTGGTTTGCTGACCCAGCCCGAACAACCACAAGGGTCCCTGCGCATAGGCGATAAGTCAGTCTTGGCATTTTTGCGGGCAGATTTCCCTACCATCAGCACCCCCTTGAAGCTTCCAGGTCTCGCTTTTCGACCTATGCCCTCATGCAGAACTGTTTCGGTCTTCACTTCGAAAGCATACTACCCCCGGAATTGGGTTTGGGGCTAGCTTTCTCGGGTACACCGAACCCTGTCACCGCAGCAGCCATATGGCTTCTTGCTCCGGGGATAGCACAGGCAAGGTAAGACACCACCCTCCTTTGGGTCTTAACTAAGGGTGAGTGGATTGTTGTAGAGTGTTTCATCCCGGATTGGGAAAGAAGATTTTCATCATTTTCTGTTTGCTTGGAAAGCATGCCATCTATCAGCGTCTGACTCTGCCTACAGTTCAAAATAGTCATTTTGACTGACCAGAGTCTATAGTGGGTAATTGAACGTATTGAATTTAGGCAGAGGGTTCTCATACCCACCGTAGACTTCGGGTTTCTCCCAACCGCTGCACTCTTTCTGTAGCATTGGTCTAAGTGTTTGATGTGGAGAGAAAGGAACCAGAGTGATTATCCAGCCATAATGGCGCCGCCATATGGCCTCGGTCTTGTGGTTCATGACATAAGGGAAAAGAATCTTGGGGTCATGTGGCTTTTCCTGACCTAGATTCTATCTCTCCATCATTGGCAGAATCGCTGATTAATGCCTACAGTTCAAAATAGTCATTTTTACTTACCAGAGTGGTGGGTATGAACTATGTGAATAGACGGGTTTGGAGAACCCTCTGCCTAATTCAATATTGTACCTGGTTATATAACACAGAAGTGTTTTTTTGTGGGATTTTTTTAAAAATCTTTGTCACTATAATAAACACTCCTATTGAATGGTTTTATTGACGTTTACTTCAATTGTGGTGTTACAGACTTAAATGTGTTTTACATAACTGCTTGATTGAATTTACCTCAAAACCTAAACTTGTAACATTTCATGCTCTCAACCAGTACCATACGTAACCAGTTTTACTTCTACTTCCTTTGATGGCCCAGCATGCATTGCGGCAATTGATTTGTAGTTCTACTCTGCACAAACTCATTGTGGACATATGATCAGAATAGAAGAACAAATGTTACATATACAATTACTGTCTCATCATATAAAATAATAAAATACATGATTTTACATGTCTAGTTCCAATAAAAATAAAAAGGTCTGCTGCAAAATTATCAGTATTTTTCCCACATCCGATGTAGATTGTGAAACCATGTCTGATTAAAAGGTTATTAAAAAACCCTGTGATATTGCACCATTCTTGTGAATACATTACTCATTGTGAGTCTGAATCAATTTCACACCAAGTGTTCTATTATATGCACAGTATGTAACAATTAGCTTGCTAGAAATGTTGTACTTTTAGTTTATATACTGCATCTGGTTTTAAAAGAATTACAAATCTGTGTCACTATAATACTATTAATACTACACTAAAAATGCATAATACTTGTAAAGCATTTTGTCATTAACTGGATCTCAGTCTTGCATATAAGCATTTCTGTCAAACTTATACATGTACATTCAACAATTTGTTTTCAAAGCATGTAATTTTAAATCCAAATCCTTACACCAACATCACATATATCACTCGAATGAACTTTTTTAAAGACACCAACTCATTATTACGGTTTGTTGCAATGTTTTCAGGATTCTCCAGCAGAAAAGGTCATTGAAAGAGACATAAACAGAACATTTCCAGCTCATGACTTCTTTAAAGAAGCTGGCGGTTTGGGTCAAGATGCTCTCTACAAAATCAGTAAAGTATGTATGGTATTTTATTTACATAAACAAATGTTTTTTTGAAATAACAACATATTTTGTGAAGGCACTATCACGATTCATTGCCTGCCCAAAGGATGATGGTCATAACCATAATATTTATGATGCGAAGGTCGAAGGCGAGGACATCAATATTATGGTCATGACCAACAGCCCAAGCACATCCAACATTCACGACTATATCTACCGTACATCTCTCACACTCACTATCCCACAAAATAACAACACTTATATTTGAAGTATGCAATATTTTATTTTATGTATTATAAGTGACACATTACTCAATAGCATGCATACATTGTTTGCTGAAGAAAATGCACAATAAATGTTACTTTTAGCAATGTGAATTACTCAAATATTGAGTATAAAATTATTGTTATGTGTATATAACAATCATCTATTATATTCTAGGCATACTCTGTATATGATGAAGAAGTAGGTTACTGTCAAGGTTTGTCATTTCTTGCTGCAGTCTTACTTTTACATGTAAGTATTCATAATTCATAGAGGTTGCATGTTGATACTATTTAATTCTGTGTCACATGACCATACATATAAAAGTTATTTCTCAAGTTGCTTGTCAGATTTCAGTTGTATACCTTTATCTTTAGATATAGCTGCTATAGTCATGAATAACTATAACTATTTTGTGCCACATTCCAACATGAGATAGGACTTCAATCACTTGTTCAACATAAACTTCATTTATTGCTAATCGTAACACTTCAAAGAAGTTTACAAAATTTAATGTAAACTTTTGGTATTTACAGAGACTTATCATAAAAGCATCAATGTAGCACAACTAAATGAAAACTGAGCCACACAGTTGAACGCGGACTAAACTAGAACACAACTACTGTTAAACTTTAAAAAAGAGAAATGGAACATTAAGGCGTTTTTCACACAGACAGAATTCAACCAATCAGTGACTAGATACTAAACTAATCATGAATATCGGCCACAGAGAATAGAATGTTCCTATCAATTTCTATACAAACTGGAGCAGAATAATATAACATCTATAGACACATAACTCGGAATTACTCATTAATTGAAACAAATCACATAGATCAATAAATATATAAAAATTATCAAAACACACCTCTGGCTTATTTATGGTTTCAATGATTTATTTTGTTGTAGATGCCTGAGGAACAAGCATTTGCAGTGCTTGTTAAGATAATGTATGAATATGGATTGAGAGATTTGTTTCGTAACGACTTTGATATGCTGCATACTAAGTTCTATATTTTAGAACGACTCTTAGAAGTAAGTCTTTTGGGTTCACTTATATTCACATTTGTCAATTTCATTGGATATTTAAAGTCACATAACTAGCAATGATT